CGAAAGCACTAGACAAGATTGTCGCCACCAAATTCGGTCACTATCTCGAGGTCAACAACATCATTGTCCCGGAACAGTTCGGCTTTGTCCGTGATCGCTCCACAGTTGACCAGCTGATACAGCTCACTACTAAGATCGCCTCGACCATGGATAAACGCATCCCTTACGATGCTGCATTTCTCGATTTTGCGAAGGCCTTCGATAAAGTGCCGCATGACGTGCTTCTCCAGCAACTCGGGACTATCTGCGATGCTCCGGCTACGAGTTGGTTTAAGAACTACCTCGATACGCGTACATTCAGCGTCCGAGTCCAACACCATCTGTCCTCCCCACGTCCCGTCAAGTCTGGAGTACCCCAGGGTTCCCACCTCGGGCCATTGCTTTTCCTGGTACATATCAACAGCCTACCCAGTGCCTCGAAACGCAACCAGCACGCTGATGTTTACCTGTTCGCGGATGACACCGCCGTCGGCCAAGCACGAACCAAAGGTACCAGCCCAATGGAGACTGCCCTGCAGGACACATTTGCCTGGGCCGACCGAGTAGGCGGAACCTTCAACCCATCGAAAACCGTTGTTATCTCATTCGCTGAGGAAGGAGCCGCAGAGACCATCCGCGGTATCCAGCCGTCAACCAGTCACCGTCACCTGGGAGTGTTGTTGAGTGAAACACTTAGCTTCCAGGAGCATATTGAACAGACAATAAGCAAGTTTAGACAACGCTGCGTTCTTCTGTGCCATATGGCTGACCGTTTAACAGGAGACATCGTCAGGAAGCTGTACCTTACGTATGTCCGCCCCACAGCAGAATACGCCGCCCCAGTATGGGAGTCCTCCCTCTCTGCTGCACAGCGGCTCACCCTTGAACGGCTGCAAGCCAGAGTAGCTCGCACAGTCATGCGGCTTGAGAGATGCCCTTGCCCATCAGACGAGCCCAAGTCATCATTGTTTAAACAGCTGGGGTGGCCAAGTCTATCCTGGCGCAGGAAGATCGCCTGCCTTATGGAATTCTTCCATTTGGTCACCACCCAACCAGAACTTTTTGAAGCAGCGGGATACTGCCCCACGCGTAGTCGCCGCCGCCAACTCGCATTCACTCTGCCACGGGTTGGGAAACACGCCAGGAGGTCATTTCTCTTCCGCACCGCTACTGTCTGGAATGCCTTGCCCGCAGACCTGAGAGCCACAGCCTCGCAGTACCTGTTTCACAGTCACATTTGCACGCACTTCTCTGACACCAAACACAATGCCACTCCTCACTGACATGCCTCTGTCCTCCTTCTTTGTGCGTTGCGCTTATTCTTATTAATTTTTGTGTTTCTGTTTCGGTACATTTCGTATTTCAAGGCATATCCCGAGGCTATAGGTATCATTGATTAAAGGACCATTCTGGAACATTCAGCATAATTGTATTTCTCTTGCTAGGCTATTCATTACGAATTATTAGCCCTCCACTGTCTGCTATCTCAACCCTACAGCCTCCCATTATAATGGAACTCCCTTCAATTTAGACTACGTCTTTGGGAAATCCTCAAATATATAATAATAATAATAATAATAAAAATCGAGCTATGTCGTTGCTGTGTCATCATCTATGTGCCATGCGCTACTTGATGTACCAGCCTGCTATGCCGGATACCGCCAGCCATGCATCGACCAGGCGCCAGGCGCGAACTGATGGTGGTGGTGGTGGTGAGAAGGAGAGCTCTGTGCCAGAACTTTGCAGCCTAGAGAGCGTGTGTGGGCAGGCGTGTGTTTACCGCCATATTGCCGGGTGTGTCTTTACTAGGCCCCGGCGGATAATGCTAGTTATTTTCGGCAATTATGCTACTAGCACTGCTAGTGAAAGTGGCACATTATGCTAGTTTTAATGCTCGTTATGCTCGTTATGCTCAATTTAATGCCACTTTATATGGGGTCAAAAAGATCTGTTACCACCCTAACAGCAACACCATTAAGAGCTGCACAGTCTCGGACCAAGGCAAGAACCGTGTGGCTTGGAACTTGCAGCTGTGTTGACAAAACCGTGTGTCATGAGCTCTCGAGCTAGTTCGGTACCAGCCAGGCTTTTGGACAGTACAGAGAAACGATTACGTACAAGGCGTTGGTGTATGTTGAAATCGCCATCGACGTAGCGGAGGACAACAGCAAGTGCCTCACCAAAGCGTGAAGTACCATTGAATATAACAGTGAGATGAGCTGCAGATGCAATCTCTTTCTTGATGGTAGACTGCTCATTCTGCAACAGTAATGGCACCAAATGTGCCATGTGAGTGCTGTACGTCATGCGACAGTAGTTCCTTTCAAGCAACGGACGAAGGTGGTCTATCTTACTCAGAGGCACACCTGCTTTGAGGAAAGACTCTACAACGTTGGCTCTTCGAATGAGGACATCATTGGCTACATCACCAGATAGCCCTATTCCTGCCAGCTCCTTCTTATGGTCTGTAGTGTACTTCTCCCACGAAGCTGTTAGCGCGAATGCTGGTGTAGCTGGGCTCGTGACTTTCGCTCTTTGGCCGTCTTGTGATTTGGCTCGAAATGTGTGATTTCACAATGCTGTTCTTCGGTTGAACTGTCTGGCTGCAAGCACTGCAGTAAATCTTCCCACTGGACACGGTCAAATATTCCCCTGGAAATTGCTGCACGCGATGGTGGACGCTGCCACGAGGTGTCACTGTGAAACGTCCACCGGCAATTCGCCCACGCTTAGCGACGGACTCTTTCCCACTTCTCTGGAAAGATCGTTTTCGGGAAATCGCTACTCTGGCTGGTTCGGGAAGACGTTCACACGCTGTCCTGACCTCGTCCTCTTCGGACTCTGATTCTGAGGCGTCTTCATCATCAAACTCGGAATCAAAGTGATCATCGCTACTTCTTACTAGATCAACAATGTCTCTGGCTGCTTGCTCGGACATAGCCATGACGTGTGTTCTTCATCAGCTAACAAAGAATAATAAGCGGCAAACGTTGGTGGAAACAAAACGCTCCACCGCCTTCTCATGAACACCCCTCACAAGTTTGTTTTCCCAACGCTTGTGCCCAGACTCCCAGCCAGAGTCATAGATCTACTACATGTACATGACAAGTTCAAGTAGTAGAGGGCTAGACATTGAAGATTTGAAGTGAACCAGTGTTTCCGGATGCGAACACAGTTGAAAATCCCATGTTTTGCAACAATATGCTAGTTTTCGCAAGAATATGCTAGTTTTCTGCAAAACCTGCTGATTATGCTAGTGCAATGCTAGTTTCCAGAAAGTGCTAAATATGCTAGATATAATGCTAGCATTATCCGCCGGGGCCTAGTCTTTACCACCATATTTATCAACCATAAGTACAGCTGCAGTGGTGTCTTCAATTTCATAATAATAATAATAATAATAATTAGGGTTATATTCGATGACGTCACATGGTATCACATGACAATAATAATTATTATTATTATAATCAAGTTGATGACGTCATTATTCATCCTTCGACCTTCGTACATGTACGTAGTGGCAAGAGTACATGAAAAAGAAGGTTTTCATGTACTCTTGCGTCTTGGTCGTGGGCATGTTCTGTATCAATGACGTCAGACAGGGGTGGCACAGCCACGTGACCTGGATGACGTCATTGATACAGAACATGCCCACTATCTACTACCGGGTATATGTACATGTATGTGCGTTTTGGACGCTAAAAGAAACAAATTATGCAAGGCGAGACGAGTAAGGGGGCGTTCGTGTTTGATCTACAGGTTTGGGTAGAAACTACTTCTTTCGGTAGAGGTGTTCGTTTTTTGAAAAAAATTCTACTCAAAAGGGTAGATTGTACTTTCCTCTACCGGCTCTACCGGGAAAAAGTTGGTAGAATCCGGTAGAAGTTGGTAGGGCTACGGGATTTCCAGCAAGATCAAGGATGTGTAATTTTGTACACAACTCCATACACAAAGAAACTTTTCACGTACACATCGTGCAAACTACTAAGTCCGGTAGAACAGCGTTCGTACACTTGCCTCTACCATCTACCTCTATCGGTAGAGTGACTCTACTCTACCAGGTAGCTAAAAACGAACGTAGCCTTAACGTGCAGTCAGCACACCGTTGTACTTAGACTGAGGACTCCACATCCATAGCAACACCATAGCAACACCACCGCCCTCACGGTACGGGATCAAAGGCATAGATGCAGCTCCTAGTAGATCAGACCCACCATGAAAGTGGTCAAAGGCCGCAACTCCCACTTGTACTGTGCTGTTCAATGAAATCCAGTCGCGTCACTCAAGTACGCGCCGGGCATTGCACAACCCTACACTTGTAGACCTACCAACAATGAGCTGCGGAAATGGTGCAAGGCGCAAACTTGAGTGACACGACGGGATTTCATTGAGCATGACTCTACGTGGCCTAGGTAAGAGGAAATCTCATTTGTCATAATTCTTATAGCATACCTGTCACTATAGAGCACACCGCCTGCCCCCCCCCCCCCCCCCCTCCCAATCTGTACTCTCTTGTACCATCATCCTGCAATGCGACGGACCCCACGATAGGCGGTCAGCCTTTGGGCCATCCTAATAAAGTTATTATAAATATTATTATTATTATACTTCGAAGTAGCAGCGTGCAGCATACAACCTGGCACTATAGCAGTGCAAAGCACACAGCTTAGCAGCAGCACCAACACCATCAGCAGCACAACGACCATGAGCGTCGTCGAGTCACTCAGCAATAATACTTCGCACATGAAGCGAGAAATAAAAATAGAAAACGAGTAAAAGAGAAGTCTAGCTCGCGCGACCGCGTTACAACCGGCTACAGAGCGAGACGGGGTTTGAAAATCACCGTGGTGATGGCAATTCCTTATCAACAAGGATGGCATGAAAGCAGGCAACGGGTACCATGGCAAAAATGGCGTCCATGGGGTGGGGAGGGGGGGGGGTGCAATCATAACGATGATCACGCTATACCATCCCCCGTCACAGGGTAACATGAGTAAATACAAGCATACTACAGTTAGAGCTAAAGTTAAAGCTACCATTACAAGCGGTATTACAAATACCTGTCCTCTATGGATCAAAACATTCATGTTTGCATGGCATACGGTTAAAAACACACACATACAAAAGAGAGAAGAAGACAGCAGTTCAAGTTCGCGTCCTCGCACAAAACTGCACATTTGCAGGAGGGTTGCATTAAAATGGGAATGCTTGGCTGAGTGGCCAAAATACCTCCATGAATCAAAACATTCATATTTGCATGGCATACGATTTAAAACACACACACACACACACACACACACACACACACAAGAGAAGAAGAGAAGAAGACAGCAGTTCAAGTTCACGTCCCAGCACAAACTCCACGTTTGCAGGAGGGATGCATTACAAATGGGAATGCTTGGCTGAGTGGCACAAACACGAGTATGGGCACTAGCATAGTGCAACATACACCACATGCAGTAGTGCGATTCTATTTAACATGGGGGTGCAATCATGTTGAACTACCGGGCTGGTTTTCGGTGCAGTGTTGATTCTATCTGTTGAGTGCAATCTGCTGGCTAGGGCAGCATGTATGGTGTTCGGGTGAGATGTAGATTGTATGGTGTTTGCGGGTGTGATGTAGACTGTATGGTGTTTGAGTGTGATGTACGATGTAGATTGTATGGCACTTGCATGTGGCTCGATGATAGAGGGTTGAGTGTGGCTAGATGTATGGGTGGCCGGATGCCTGGGTGGCTGAATGCGGCTTAGATAGGGCTGCACGGTAGATGAATGCTGATTAAGTGTGGCTGGATGATAGAGGGTTGAGTAGCGCTGGGTGGATACGGGGTGGCTGAATGCTGATTGAGTATGATGGTTGCATGGTAGATGGATGACGGTTGAGTTGGGCTAGACGAGGGACGGTTGAGTGTGGCTGAATGTATGGTGGCTGAGTGCTGCTGAATGTATGGTGGCTGAGTGCTGCTTGGATACCGCTGCATGGCAGATGGATGATGATTGAGTATTGCCGCATGGCAAGTGCACTGTGGTTGCCAAGCGTAGCAGCGTTAAGGCTGATTGCTAGGTGAACTGTGTTGTAGTATGGCAGGGTGGTGCAGAAAGCGGAGTCTAGTTTAGAACACGGCTGAACAGTGGCCGTGTGGTGAACAGAGATATCTCTGATTGGAAAATGCCACTACATCACAAGATGATGCGGCAAAGCTGGGGTAGCCTTAGTAACACAGCCGTTGCCATGGTCACGCCAATTCCGACAGGTTGCTGGGCACGCGAATGCAGGTGCTGTTGCCAGGGTGACAGTCCACAGTGCCGTTGCCAGGGTGACAAACAGCGGTGTTGCTGCCTAGGCGACGATCAGTGGCTCGTCATCGCCGTGCGGGGTGGTTGAGAGGTCATCATTAAACAGATCGGCCTGGCGATCATCTATGCACAGGAGAGTGTGAGACGGCAACACAACGTGTCTGGTAGTTTAAAGTCAAAGTTACATACATGTGTTATCTCTAATATAAGCACAGTCTCCAATAATAGCACGTCTCCAATAACAGAACACCTTGGGGCGGCATTCAAAAAATAAAGTGCTCAGTCTCCATTATGAGCACACTGTGTAGATTCATTATCTGTACCGGCGAAAAAACCCTGAAATATGTGTGTCTGACATGAATTTGGCATGGCAACATGCCTCTGAAATGAGGTTGAAATAATAATGGAACAGTCTCCAATAAAGGAACGTCTCTATTAATAGCACGGGGCGGAGGTACATTGAAAAAATAAAGGACCGTGCTTATACTAGAGATAATACGGTACATGTGCCTTGGAGCAGAAACATAGCACCAAGAGTACATAACCCCCCCAGAGTGTGCAACGCCTGATCCAGCTCTGCATAGGGTCTTGGTCAAGCGTAGCCGGATCTTCTGATGTCATGCGTACACTCCACACCAGCACAAAGCCGGTCTCGAGGCAGGGCACCGTTGCTTTTGATCCGAGAGTACCCGCGACTCCCCGGGTTCCCCATCAGATGTGTAAGGTATTATGACGCAAAGATCCGGCTACGCTCGACCAAGACCCTATGCAGAGCTGGATCAGGCGCTGCACACTGGGGGGGGGGGGGTATGTACTCTTGATAGCACCTTACTCAAAAAGCCAATTGCAGAAAAAGAAACGTGCAAACAGTGAATGCAAACAACTTGCCAAGACATAGGCCAGGGTCAGCTAGCAATCAGTCAGGACAACTTTGTGTTGCCAAATAAGGCAGGTACGAGTAATGCATGTGAGTGCTTTGGGATGGGCATTGCAGTGTTCAATACCCGACATGACGATCATGCCCAGATGACTGTGTGCAGGTGCTGACGGTAGAAACTACACCATTGCTCAATGAGATTACACCTGATTGATAACGTTGACCACTATTGTCTATAAACACAGCGTTTCGGCACACACCCTTCATTGGCGCTTGTCAGCAGCTATTCTCTCTCTCTCTCTCTCTCTCTCTCTCTCTCTCTCTCTCTCTCTCTCTCTCTCTCTCTCTCTCTCTCTCTCTCTCTCTCTCTCTCTCTCTCTCTCTCTCTCTCTCTCTCTCTCTCTCTCTCTCTGTCTGTCTGTCTGTCTGTCTGTCTGTCTGTCTGTCTGTCTGTCTGTCTGTCTGTCTGTCTGTCTGTCTGTCTGTCTGTGTGTCTGTCTCTCTCTCTCTGCCTCTCTGTCTCTCTCTCTCACTCTCCCCCCCCCCCCTCCCACACACTCTCTCTCTCACTCTCACTCTCTTTCACTCTCACTCTTACACACACTCTCTCTCTCCCTCTCTGTCTCCCTGTTCAAATATGTATGGCACTGCGCCTCTTCTCCCTTCGCCCCGTTGTTATTGGACATATTAGTCCGTTTTGGCCAGCAAATCAAACTCAACCCAACGACAATCACACAACTATCAGCAGTAGCACTACTTACCATCTTCATCGATGGGAGAGAGTGATGTATGGTAGAGCACACCGCCTACACCACGGGCGGTGCGATGACGACTCAGTAGCTGGCAGTAGAGGATGCTCACAGCCATCAGGGCCACTGCCAGAACGCCAGCTATGATGCCGGTCAGCCTAGTGTAGGAGTTGAGTGTAGCGGAGTGTGCGTCCACTGGTGATGCTGTAGGCTGAACAGTAGGTTGAGGGGTGGCACGTGCCTCTTCGTTGCGTAGCAAATCGGTCCACTGCATGGCCCCCAGATCTCTGCACAAGAGCGCGCACAAACACACACAAACGCACACACGCACGCACGCACACACTCAGCCTCAGACATGCCCATCGCCGAAGCGATGATAGCGAACAGCTATGTTAGACATAGCAACTTGTGCTGGGATTACACCATTCAACAACTTGCAAGGCTGGTGAATTGACTGCCACTAATTTTAGCCTGGTATCCACCACACAGCTGATTGAAGTGGCTTTTTCTGGCCAGTGAATTCTTATTTTACGTTTTTTTCATGTTTTCATTTTTCACACACACACACACACAGACTTCAACTCCTTATCGACTACATTCAACACTAGCGACGAATTATCAAATGAAATCGCCATCATGCATGAACACACGCACAGCATATGCACACAATCGCACATATACATTCCCAGCAGGTTCACCCAACCATGCACAGGCAACAGAAGCACAGAGTACGTTGAAGGTTTCAATGTGCGTGTGTGTGGGGGGGGGGGGTGAACGAGAGAAAGAGAGAGAGAGAGAGAGAGAGAGAGAGAGAGAGAGAGAGAGAGAGTAAGTTACATTTATAAAGACAGGTAAGTCTAACAAATGAGGACTGAGACCTCTACAACAGGGTTTTTACGCCTGAAAGCAGGTGCATGATTTAACAAGCAGGTTGTCAGTCTAGATTCTATGCGCAGATGGAGAAAAAGCGCAGAATTTTTGTAATGAGATGAAAAGCAGAAATAATAAGAAATAATAAGAAAAGATGAAATGAAAGCCTGCTCACAACCCCGCCCAGCCTTGCGAACTGGGTATGGTGGATTAAGAACCCGGTTCAACGCTCGAGCAAGCGCTCTCCACTCAAGGTGTTCACAGCAACTGATAGGAACTCATATGGGGAAATTATAGAAAAGAAATAATAAGATAAAGAGAATAAATTTCAACGCACCTCAATAAACGGAGCCCCACATACAGTACCTCAGAAAAGTGGATCTTCTGACCAGTGTTTTTGTTGACGCCGCAACCAGATGATGTAGCTGCTTCGCAGAGACGTCTTACTGCACAAATTACAAATAAATTTTATTCTTCGATTAGAAAACCCAAGCGCTTTCAGAGCCCTCCGAAGAGAGTCCGGGATGAAACCACGCACACCTACCTCAACCGAAAAAGAAACGACCTGCCACCCGTTTGCTCGGCATTGATCGGCCAGATCCGCATACCGCCTGTCCTTCCGCGAGTTACTGACACTGAATCTGTCCTCAGCACAAACTGTCAACTCCATCCAGAACACAATCCTACGACTCGTAGAGTACAGAACTATATCTGGTCTTAGGGTGGTAAGTGCAACACAGCTAGGGAAAGAAATCTTTGCACTAACTGAGTCGACAAGAAGTTTCCAGTCTGAGGCCGCTGACAGGAGATCAGTCGTAACCAACTTTCGTCTGGGCTGAACGCGAACTGGCTTCTCTCCCGCCTTGCAAAACGAGATGAAGTCAAGCTCATTTGAATTTTCGGTTTGTACGGTGTTTGCAGCAGTGCGGATTCGAATCTCCTCACGCATGTTCCTGATGATGACCCCGAGTACGTTGTCGTGCCTCCAGGTGTAACGTCCCTGGTCCAGCGCTACGCGACAAGCACGTGGCGCGTAGTACAGGCCCAGGTACGGCACAAACTACAGTACGGATCCACTACGGTGTTTCCCCAACGGCGTAGGTTCGTCGGAGAAGGTAGCACGTCGAGGGTTGATGCGAGAAGAAATTTCAAATCCTTACCAGTACCACCGTACAAAAGGGATTTCCACGAGAGGTCCTGCCACATCACCGATGTCCACTCCAACCACTTGCCTTGCACCTGAAGAGTCTTCAGCCTCAAAATCTGCTCCTGCGCGTTGATCTCCTCAAATGTTTGAAGGAGATCCTTCCTCGGGGGTTTGGAATGCTGCTTCGGAGCACGAGCACCCAACCCTGCACGATGACTTGAAGATGACGGCGGACGGAGAGTCCCTCAACCTACTGATGCCTCTGCACACTCCAGCTCTATTGTCGCCGCATATCGCTTTGTCAGCTTCGCATCCTTACTCCGACGCAGAGTGTACAGCGCCCTCATGCGCGCGTCCCCACTCGATCGAAGAATGTGCCATTTGATGGACTGGCACTTTTTCCACACCGTAGGAAGGTAGTGGAGGCGTAAGCCAAAGCGTTTGCGACTGCCAATAAAAAGAATGGCAGAGTTTGCGCATCGAGGTAGGCCTGACCATTTCTTCAGAAATGGTAAACACATAAAGTGCAGTTCACGTACAAAACCTTGTGTGAGTTCAAGAACCTGCAAAGACCAAGAAAGCTTGGGCACTACAAGATGGTGGTAAAGCCATAGCTTGTGGTGGTCTTGAAGCCAAGAGCCATCTACTTTTTGCATGAGAGATACAGTGAGTTGACGGATGTCTTCCCGCTGGGTCTGCTCAGAGCAATCAGCATGCAGCCTTCGCCCCAGGAACTTGAACTCTGCAGTGTCAATGAAAGCGATCTTCCTCCCTGACATCGTCAGGCAGGGATCGTAAGGTTTGTACCGGCTATCTACAAGCTTTGCTGCACTGCTTTTGCATTTGTGCGGCGCCGCCTGCATACATTGGGTCCACGAGAGAAAGTCCTCCGTGACCGCAATGAGTTTTTGACAACCTGCACTAGATTTGCTATAGAGGCCTAAGTCATCAGCAAAAGCTGTTTGGGACACTTGCAAAGGGGCAGATTTAAAATCATAGGAGAGGCAACTTAATTCAGGGGCTGCAAGTGAGTCCAGCAGAAGCTGGAAACAAATATTGAAAAGGACCGGGGACAAGGGGCACCCCTGGAAAACACCAATGTTGTAATTAAGGAGGCTCCAACCTTCTGCGCTGCGCAGCCGGTCTGGCGCTCTGTTTTTTGCAGGAAAAGTCTTGTTTTTGCCGATAAGTGCGAAAAGTTGGGAAATTCCCATCTCAACTTACTAAAATTTGAACTCCGCGATCGACAGTCTTATCAGAGAATATTGTTTCATTCTTCACCTGTAGTCTTCCCTGGGCCCCATCGAGGTTCCTGTTGTTTTTTCCTCCGTTGTGTCAGTGGGTATCAGGGCATGTTTTCAAAAGCATCGCTGGTGTGAGCAAGAAGTTGACTTTACAGCTCGATTTCTCGAGATCCTGAATAATTTTGCTTGACGAAAAAATGAACAAGGAGAACGGAGCCAAGCGTCTCGTTGGCTGTGTAACACCAGGGACCAAAACCTACTGTAAGCGCGTTTTGGAGAGAGAGACTGAAGTGGGTGCACAGACTCTGGTAAGTGGATCCACTTCTAATTCTCAAGTGGCGAAATATATTCCTACGCTGAAAACATTGCAGTCTTGAGTGAGTGGTAAATCGTTGGTGAGCTACTGCTCAGTGACTTGGGCTATTTACGAAAGCTGTGACCTGTCAGCTGCCAACGTCGCCAGCAGTAAGTCATCACCTGCGTCCACTTGAATAAAATACAGCACTGAAAATTGAGTATGTTGTTTTGCAGTACTATTCTCTATTGTCAGTGTGTGAAGTATTTTGTAAATGTTGTGTTGTACAGCACCAGTGATTTGAAAATATTCCTACACTACTCGCACCAGTTCTATTATGATGAATGCATGCACCTCTACCCATAAGCACTATGTGCATGCACATACGCAGGCACGCGTGTGAGCCTAAATGTTGTTTGTGTGTGCGCGCGCGCGCAGTGCATGTTGTGTGTGCGCGCGCACGCGTGCACAAGTGCATGGACAGCAGAATATGGTAACTAAGCTCAAGAGCATGCATTTTGCATGTGGGTGTATGCTATTGCGGGTGCGCGTATAATGACGTACGTGTATTTGTGTGTGCAAGGGGTACTTGTTTGTGAGCATGTGCATGTAAGCGTACATGTATGTATCAATGTGTGCAATGCGCATGCACCCACATAAATAATAATTGTTATCCTCCTCAAGCTCTTTGCCTGTTGCTTTATGAGAAATACTAGGAGTGAACTATTGCAAGAGTTGTGATGCAAAGCTGGTCTGAACTGTGCTCAGGGTCAGTAGGCCTCGGCCTGGATCATGAATAACGTTGTGCATGGATCATGCCGATATCCAGATCAAGGGCTAAAAAGCCCAGGAACCATGGCCTCATCTAGTCTCCATGTATACTATAACAATCTGGGGACCATTCAATGCTTTTGACACAAAAAATTGGAGTAATACCACAAGGAATGCATAGAATGATCACCTTACCTGAAAAATAGCAATTCCAAGAATGGTGGAAAATCGGCCAATTTTCGGTCCTATTTTTATTTTTGGAGGTCTAAAATGCACGGTAACCCCCCTAAAATTATATATTTCTAGTTTCTATGAAGTATGAGGATCCCAAAAATAAAATAAAAAGGGCATGTCCATGAAGAAAATATGAAGCTGTGCACCCAATTGTACTTTGCGGACGGGCAT